ACATCTACATGTCTGTCTCCTTTAAAGTGTTTATAGTGTATATAATGAGTTGTATTTGTAGGGGTTATTATAACACAATTCTTTAACATCATCCTCCCCCCACCCCACACACACCCCCACACCTCACTAATTTTCAAAGCCTGGGTGCTGCATTGGCTGTGTATAAACACAAATATACACGTAACATAAAATACTGTGGCTTGGCATGATACACAGTCTAATGGTCTAACGAAATCCAGTTTTAAACATCTTTTACTGTACCCATTGTATGGCCCTTATATGACCTATTTGAGCCAATGCAGCATTAAGTTATCTCAGGACGAGACCGCCCTGATTGTAAAGCAAAACGTGATTGGCTATAGCGAGATCGTGCTACGATTGGTCAGCGAATGTGGCTGTTATCTGATTGGCTTGAGTAGACAGTGGGTGGAGTCCACGTATTTGTGGATTGTCAGCACATCTTGACGCAAGAAATGTTTCACAATTCGCAAATGCACAGGACGCGATTTACAAATGCGTGCAGCTATCTACAAATGCACAGGACGCGATTTACAAATGCGTGCAGCTATCTACAAATGCACAGGACGCGATTTACAAATGCGTGCAGCTATCTACAAATGCACAGGACGCGATTCACAAATAAATGCCAGGCAAAGTTGTGGTTGTGACATAAATATATATTTGTGAATATGTTTTTTATTTGCAAATCTCATTTTATTTATTTGTGAATTTAATTCATGTTTGTGAAACTTTAAGATTTATTAGTGGATCTCATTCTATTTATTTGTGGATCATAATCTATTTATTTGGAATTAAGCAACAATTCTACCCCCATAATTTGGGGAGGGCCTGCAGCACATGAACGCTCCTGATAAAATTATTTAGGCTAAGCATCAACATTCACAAACCACTGTTCAGTGTTATTTTTAACAGAAAAGAATGCAATGTGCTGGTAATCACAACTTCATAAGTGGGAAATAGGACGTTTCCGCAGAGAAGCGCTCTCACTCAGCACAGTGGAGTGCATCGTTTTGTTAACTTTGTGGTTTATTATTTTGAGTTGTTTGGGATGCGGTAACACATGGCCCTCTCACTATATATTTCTTTACAGATCTATCACTCTTGTCGCTCAGAAATGTTCACGAAATCATGCTGCTCGTATTTACAAGAAATATTTTAACTGCTACTATGAAAAAGGAATACTGCTGTAAAAAAGCACCTTATTTGTTTAAAGTGTTTGCAAACCAAATGTTATAGCACCTTTGTTCAGACTTTTAAATGAGAAAAGTGCAAAATACACTAATTTCACTAGGGTATTTTAAGAACTGTTCACTGAAAGGTTCTTTGAGGAAGTTGTTCTTCTATGGGATCACTGCAAAACTTTTTTTTTTTTTAACTTTTTTTTTTAAGTGTATTATCACATTTACCTTGTATTCTCCATGTGCTTCATTTGAGGTTCCAAGAGTCTTTACATCAAGGTCTTGATCATGTGATGTGAAAGGAACTGAAGTTGGTTGCATCTGAAATTCTTTTTGAGCAGTTAAGTCTATCACAAATGGGTCATAACTCTCTTTGTTTAGGTTTTCTGTATCTTTTTCAGAATTTGTCAGTGGAGGATTGTCCATGATGCCATCTGTATATTGATGTGTAACTGGAGGATTGACATCATTTGGATTTCTGTATGACACTGGAGAAGTATCCTTTACATCATCTGAATCTCCATATGATTCTGGAGAGGTGTCCATGACATCATCATCTGTACCTCGATCCATAATTATATGACTGGAAGGAAAAAATAAACATTACCCAAGTTTGGTGGACCAGATAAACCCCATACAATAAAGATCAAAAAGTATTTGATCACTTTTTCACACTGGTGTCACACTTAAAAATAACTTTCTTTTTATATTAAATACAAAATATCAAACCAAGTGATGTGCAAATGCAAATGATGCTTGATGTAAAATAAAAATATGACTTTTAAATGATGTTTGAATTAGTAGCAGTTAAAACACCAGAAACCAAATGGCTACAACTTCACCTCCTAATATGCAACTCCATTATATATTTCATAGCTCTGACCCCCATGCAGGGAAATAGACTGTTTATTGACCAACTTTGCATAGCTGTTTGATTGGTTATTTGATGAAGTAAATAAAGATGAAAGATTACATTTTATGTGACATAAGCAAAAAACAAAAAAGGATATGTCATGTGGATTCACACGATTCAATGTAAATAACCTAATAAAATGATTAAGGGCATTATCAATATTATATACAACCTATGCATCATGTCATTAAATACAACTATCAAAATAATTAAAATTAATAATAATACATGTAAATCACCTGTCGATCAGCGACTGGAATTCATCCAAGCTTGAAAGTCAAAAGGATTCAAAATACTGAAATAACTCAAGACAAGAGAATCTCAGACAGCCTCATATATCATACAGCTTCACCCTCTCGACTTTAAAGTTCATGATTATCTCATTCTCAAAAGTTAGCTAATACCTAACTTGCTTTATAGACTGATGGTCATTGGCCCGGATCAACTACAAATGAAAATGTGAGCTATAAAGAGGATACAGGTTTCTTGTTCAGATAAGTCACATGATTTCTAGAAAAACGAAACTCAATACTGCACTGGCTTATTTAAGATGACAGCCTTATTTATCTAGATTTGACCATATGAAAAATAGCTGTATACAAATAAAAACAGACAAACCAAAAGCGGAAAACAGAAATTTAATGAGTTATGACAAGTTGTAGAGACAAGTAATTCAGTTCATTTTTAGTAATGTATGTAACTAAAATGTAAGAATGTATTATCTGTGTTAGAGATCAAGAGAAGGACGAAGGATGAAAGTACTGTAGATGATTTACAGCCATTGCACTGAAAAGTGAAACTGAAATTTAAAAACAGACTCTTCAGCTTAAATGTAAGTAGAACAGTAAATTGGGCTGTATGACACATGATGAGATGCTTTTACAGTTATAAAGATATCTGGGCTATGCTAACAAACCAAACCTTGACCTCTTGACATTTTCATTTAGTTATTTAGAAGACTGTTCATTACCAGTAATAAATGCACCCAAGCAACAGTCTTGGAGATGAATGGGAATTCTGATGGATAGCTTTCTTCTGGTATTATAGTGCTCAAAAGAGAACATGAATCATTTGGTTGGTTACAACTGCAGATTTGATTTATTTTATAGCTAACATTAGAATACGCATTAGCATAATTTAACCTGGACTTGACCAGGTCATTTGAATTTCACCTCAACATCATCATAGCCTGTATCATCAGCCTGTTTGTAGGGATGGCTGACGCGAAACTGACGTTTCGACACGGTGTCGAGATCCCGAAGAGCAGATGTTTTGAAATACTGCTCTAGGGCCGGATTTATGCATAGGCATTCTAGGCACGTGCCTATGCTCGCTCGTCCAGACTTCTGACTATTTTGTAGCAAGTAACGAATAGCCTATGCTTCGGGGAAATGTATCGGAGTAAAAGTATACATTTTAATGAGGAAATGTAGTGGAATAAAAGTAAAAGTTGGCTGAAATATAAAAACTCAAGTAAAGTACAGATACTCCCAAAAAAGAGCTACTGTAACAAAGTATTATTACTTCGTTACATTACACCACTGATACTTTCCCTTTTATTTATTTCTCTAAAGCAATTGTAATAAATGTGTAAACGATTAGGAAAACTGCATTTCCTCTGTTGTGTGTATAATTAACCGAGTAGTTATCAGTTTAGAGTCAATCGAAAATATGCATTTGACAGAATGACAAATTACAGAGTTTTGTTTGTTGTGTTTGGACAAATGGTACATAAATGTTTGCGATTTGTGTAAAACCTTTTTTCAGATATTTTAAAGTATTGGTTGGTTGCATTAACTACTGTGAAAACATTTGAGAGTTTTGTGCACATTATTTGCATAATTTGTATGAAATGAATGAAAGAGTCAAATCTGTTTAGGACAATTACAAAGTGTTATCTGTTTTGAGAACAGTGACCTGAGTTTGGAGAAATGTGTCAAATTGATTGAGAAAAACTGTAATTGAAGTTACAGAAAAAACTGATGCATTAAAAAAAGTGCAACAAGCTGGTTTAAATATAAAAGTGAAAAAATGGACAATTCAATCGGACAAAGAAATCAGACTCACCTATGACAGACTCTGTATGTAACAATATCGTTCTCTGATTCTCCACTTGCTCTTGCTGTGTAGAGTCCACTGTCTGTCTTCTGCATGTTCTTCAGTGTCAGAGAGAAGTGTTTTTTTTAATTGAAATCCACTCTGTCCTTGTAGGAAGAGTGAAGTTTTACTTTTTTAGATTCATTTGTATATCTAACTAAATTCTCTGATTTATCTTTTGTCCAGTATAAATCATCAAACTCTAGTAGTTGTTGTATATCCAGTTGAACAGAAGCTTCTGTCTGAACAAACACAGAGGTCTCAGCACTGAACCCTGAGGAGAGAGAAACACACAGGTCAGAACATTTTACACCTCCATCTCATCCTGTGTAATCAACTCACATTCCTGTATTTGGTGACATAAATTATAAGAATCATTGTTTCAGCAATTCGTTAAGGCTGTACTCACAGTAAAATAAATGTCCTTAAAGACACTAGACATAGGTAGATTTATTATCAGTGCGCATTTATCAAGTAGAAAAATCCTATAAATGTCTCTGACTGAAACACTGTATTAGAACCGTGGACAAATACATGGCATCATATGAAGTCTACTGTACCAAACGTCAAATAGTGGTTTATCATTTTTATAGATTTGTTAAATGTTTCAGAGTGAAGATCTTTATATTCATGTATCAAATTTCATCAAATGACTGATTCCATTCTGGAGTTAAAGACATTTTAGTCAAATAGGCAACAAGCTACATTTCATTGCCCACTTGTAGCCATTCTGAAAAAGACGTTCAACATGTGTTTGCTGATTTTTGGCACTATATGACACTCCAGACTACATGAAGAATAAATAGCACATGTATATGAACTATTGTAAATGTACATTATGTATATAAAATCTCTATGATTCATTGTTCATGCAGTATAACCAAAGTAACTCAACATTTAAACGATTTTATAAATTAAAATAAAATCTCTATAGCTCTAGTACCACATTGTGCTTTAACGCCTAAATAGTGTTTCAAGAAACAGTAGCCAGAGAATAATTTTTGTCTTCCTTTCCTTAATGTAACAGAAATGATTCTTTAAAACTCTAGTGTTAGAGACTATCAGCCTGCTTTCCTTCCCTGTTCTAGGCTGTTTTCTTCTTGACGACGTTTGAAACTTTATTTTATAGCTCTGATCGTATTGCTTCTGTATGATGAATAAAAGCATCTGGATAAAAGCATCAGCTAAATGAATAAATGTATATGTGCAGATACTCTGCTTGAGATGTTCGAACTATGACAGATTGATAATGGCTGTTTTTCAGAAACATTATAATTACAATTACAAAACTTAGTCTTAGCCATTACTATTGTTTAATACACGAGACAGACTATAGACAGTAGATTATCAAAAGTGTAAACTTTGACCTGTGCAGCAATCGCCAAAAAGTGAATCATTCATAAGTAATTCAATTAATCATTTAATTGAGTTTATTAACGGTGTTACTGATGAGGAGAAGGATAAAGGATGCAAGCAGACGATCTACTGCCATTGTAACAAACATCAGAATGACTGGTGTTGCTGTCCTAGAAAAGGAAGTTGAGTATGTGTAAACTGATGCTCGGTTAGCTTCTTCCGACCAGAGACAGTCAATTCAGCATTTTAATGATTCTCTCCTTGACAGTTAATAATTTGATTTATTGCTTTTTAAAGCACATAGTTTACATTAAGACTAATTTGAAGCAGGTAGAAAAAAAAGACTATAATATCAGACTAGGTTTAGCCAACTTCCCTACAAACACATACACACAATGGTGTGCAACAACTGTTGCCAAAGCAAAAAAAAAAAAAAACGAAGACAAGACTGACCACCATTCTCAACACACTAAACAATTTTGTGTGTGTGTGGTTTAAAGTGCTGCAGTCAAACACTATTCACAGACATCAGTGAAGACTTTATTTAGAGTTACTGGAATTGGTCTCGTGCATTGGCATCACTATGAGAAACCAGTGTCACTCTTCCTGAATCTACAGGGCTATTTTGGGCTGTGTGTGGATTCTGAAGAAAGAGGAACAGACAGATAAAACTACTTATATTTAAGATAGTGCAGCATTATTCTTCAGTTGATCACATGCAGAAAGAACTTTCAAAAAATACATGGTAGATGAGATAGTAGTGTTACATAACACAGAGACTCCGAAGCCTTTATCTGGTGCGCAGTGCAATTTACAATGAAGCTGCGTATTAAGACTTGTTCTGTTTTCAGAAAATCGTGTTGGACGACTGTTACGCCCCATCTAGGGTGAAGGCGCAACATGAAGGAGTACGAGGACACGGAGGAGTTTTGGAAAATGAATGAACAGTATTTTAATTAAACAATGATTTTACAGTACAAGAGGGGGAGCCGACAAGGCCAAAATAACAAACAGAAAACAACTAATATACAAACCTCTAAATTCTCTAGTTCACAAAATAAAATACAATTACTTCCCTAAATTCCTATCCAAAAACAATCAAAAAACAAGGTTCCAACAAAAATGGCGTCGGTCTCCCTACCTCCCCAGAATATTATTATATACAATTATTTACAGCGAACAGATCCGAACAAGGGCAATCCAGAATCATAGTCAAAGAACAGGCGGAAGTCAGTAGTAAGAATAAATGGGCAAAGCAAACTAACACAATCTCTCACCAGTGAACACTCGATTGAACACACACAGAAATTCTCAGTCTTACGAACACATGTAACTAACTAGCAGAGTCAAGGCAGAGCAAACACAGCAAGAGAGCACAAAAGCTGAAGCAGAAAGTGATGATGGAGTCTCTTATAGGCAGCAAGGAGTCAGCTGATCAGGCAGGGCGTAGCACCAATTAGACTGCAGGAACCAATCAGCTTCTTCCTGGACAGAAGACACACACAAACACTTCCCAAACAAAAGAAAGCACAGAAGTAGAACAAAAGGGACGTGACACCCCCATACACAAGAATACACATGTTTCATGTTTATGAACAAGTTCTTGACAGAGAGTCAGCAATAACATTATCTTTTCCCTTCTTATATTTAATGTGCAAGTTAAATTCTTGACATATTAGAGCCCAACGCATAAGTCTTTGATTTTTGTTACAGAACTTTTGCAAAAATACAAGAGGGTTGTGATCAGTAAAAACTTCAACAGGTTGCGAACTGGAACCAACATAAACCTCAAATTGCTGCAAAGCTAACAAGAGGGCGAGGGCTTCTTTCTCAATGTTACTGTAGTTACATTGATGGTGATTGAATTTCTTAGAAAAGAAACACAAGGGGTGATCGATTCCATTTTCATCTTCCTGTAACACTACAGCACCTGCACCAGTATCACTAGCATCAACCTCAAGTTTAAAGGCTCTTGAAAAGTCAGGAGCAGCTAAGATTGGTGCACTACATAACAAATTCTTTAAAGAATCAAAAGTAACTTGACACTGAGGAGACCATACAAACGATTCTTCAGAGGTTGTCAGTAAGAGGTTTTACTACATCAGAAAAATTCCTACAGAAACTTCTGTAGTATCCTGCCATGCCCAGGAAGCTTCGGAGTTCTCTCTTTGTCTGAGGTATAGGAAAGAACCATAAAGAACCTTTAACATCTGAAGAACCTTTCTGTTTCACAAAAGGTTCTTAGTGGCGAAAGAAGATTCTTCAGATTATAAAAAGGTAAGAAAGAGATGGTTCTTTAAAGAACCTTTGACTGAATGGTTCTTTGTGGAACCAAAAATGGTTCTTCTATGGCATCGCTTGAAGAACCTTTTGAAGCACCTTTATTTTTAAGAGTGTAAGGTGGATACAGGTCTCAGAATAACACACAACATCGTCAAGATAGGCTTCACAATTGTTCACATTGGAGAGTACCTTCCACATTAAACGTTGAAACGTTGCCGGAGCATTTCGAAGGCCGAAAGCTAACACCTTATACTGCAGGAAGGCATCTGGAGTAGCGAATGCTGAAATTTCTGAGGCACGTTCTGTAAGTGGCACTTGCCAATAACCCTTGAGTAAGTCTAACTTGGTTACAAACTTAGATCTTCCGATTCTGTCAATACAATCTTCTATTCGTGGAAGTGGATAGGAATCTGCTTTGGTGACTTGATTTACCTTTCTGTAGTCTGTGCAGAAACGTGAGGACCCATCAAGTTTAGGAACCAGCAAGCAGGGTGAGCACCAGGGACTAGAGCGAGGCACAGCTAAACCATGCTTCACGAGGTAGTCCGTTTCCGTCCGTTAACGACACTTTCTGTTCAGGTTTTTCTGTTCATGTATTTTTACTCCAAGTTGGCATAGTCTGGTTGGTTTAATTGTGAGAAGTGTAGTGTACATTTAATAGTTTAATTAATAGGTTGTTAAATTGATCAATAAACAGTTTTTTTCAACTTTTTGTCAGATTTTTGGACACTTGATTGTTTTTATGTGTATTTTTTTTTTTTTTTTTACAAAACTTATTATACTTATGTAAGAAATTGCTAGAACAATAAAATTAGTTTCTCTGTTTAGTAACATTTTCAGTTGACATTATATTTCAGGCTTTATGGATGGTGTAAATTTTATGAGCGAGTAGATGGCAATGTTTTCAATACTCTGAGGCACTGAATCTTATCCCATCGTACAATGATGGGATACATGACTTTCCTGTTTTTTCAGAACACAGTAGAAGATATTTAGAAAAATGTTTCTGGTTTTTGTGACAAAAAAAATGTCAATAGAGCGCTGCAGTGATGACATGCCTGTTTTGTAAGCAACACCCAGACATTTGCATCATCCTGATTCATTCAACAAAACCCAATAGGATTTTTCCACTGGCTTTTGGATAATTGCAGAAAATAAGCTCAACAAAAGTGCATGATTCTTTTAAGTCATCATGATAATCTTCACAAATTAACACAATTTATATGAATTGTGACGTCAAGAACATTAAACTGGTTCTTGTGTGTCAAGTGACAATGTCATTAAGACACCAGCACCAAAGATGTTATTTGATTTGGGCTCTGGATTCATGAGTTGATCAATGATTTACTTTAATTTTCACCAAATCTGTTCTCTTCATCATACAAATTGATTTTTATCACTTTAAAAGACTTGTACTGGGTTAAACCAATTGAGTTGTATGAATGACTTTTCTGCTGCTTATATGCTCTTTTTGGAATTCGAGCTGACTGACTTTAGAGACTGTATAGACAAAAACAGCTGAAACATTCTACAATCTCTACCACAGAAATTCATACAGGTTTAGAACAACATGAGGTGAGTAACTTATGATAGAGCATTCACTTTTGAGTGAACTGTGAGCCAATGTGATCGTAAAATCTCTTGCTCAACAGAAACCTGGACAAGAAAGGCAAATCCAAACAGCACAAACAAGCAGAGAAGTGCTCATTTTTAACATCTGCAGTGACTGACTGAATATTAGACTCGCAATAAAAATAGTGTCTGTACAGTTCCACAGGAGTCATTAAGTCAGGAAGCTGTTTGTGAGTGTTTAGCATTCATGAAGGGGTTTGGTGTCGTCCTACTGTACAGTAGGTAACGGTGGTCCATGTATCTCCTGTCATCTTCTGGGTCATATTCTGAAAAGAAATAAAACAAAGTATCACAGAATGTCAAGTGAAACACAGTTAATATTCATTTATTATCTGACGTCTGCAGGAATATCATTTGAATCTCACCTCAACATCATCATAGTCTGTATCAGCTTGTTTGACACCTGAGAGGTCAGAATAGAAGTTTACTGCACAGATTACCAGTTGGGTTGAAACATGCTTGTTTGCATTTGATTCTGTCAGATTTTAGACTCAAATAGTGAGATTTCGCACATGTAAGACAGACTGACAGCCTATAAGTTTAATATTGACCAATATTCTGGATTTAATATTAAAAGTGTATGATAGACATTGTGAGAAAGTTTATTTTTAAGAGTCTCTGTAGTATTTATAGAGTCCAATGGAACCTACTGCACAAGCAAAAATCTGAAAAGGTCTCTACCTCTGAAAAGATCACTTTGTGCATTTAAAGGGTTAGTTCACCCAAAAATAAAAATTCTGTCATTAATTACTCACCCTCGTGTTGTTCCAAACCCGTAAGACATTCGTTCATCTTCGGAACACAATTTAAGATATTTTTGATTAAATCTGAGGGCTCTCTGACCCTCCCATAGACAGCAAGGTAACTACCACGTTCAAGGTCCAGAAAAGTACCAAGATGATCGACAAAGTAGTCCGTGTGACATCAGTGGTTCAACTGTAAAGTTACAAAGCTACGAGAATACTTTTTTTGCGCAAAGAAAACAAAAATAACGACTTTATTCCACATTTTCGTTTCGTCATGACGTCATTACGCCGGATCTGGGTCAGCGCTGTGCCGCCACACGCTCGCGTCATGATATTGTCGTGAACGCACGTCCACAAGTGACGCAATAGAGACGAAAATGTGGAATAAAGTCGTTATTTTTGCATTAAGTTATTAATGACAGAATTTTAATTTTTGGGTGAACTAACCCTTTAAATTGAGAGAAATGCTGTGCACCCAGAGGAAAATGAATTATAAACCTAAATCTACAAAAGGTGAGACAAAACTAGACACAATGATGTATCTTGGTTTAATATCCTACAGACCAATCAAATATTAGCCTGTACAGTAATCATTTTAGTGATTAATAACTTTTAGTACTACATAATCTATATTTCAGGTTTAAGTATGAGATCATTTATTTCAGTAAATTTGAGATGGACAAACCTGTTTTATTCTTGCAGCAACAGTAAAGAATCAAACCAGCAAACACTATCACTCCCACCACAACACACACAATAGGGAGCACAAACATGTGAGATGAATCATAGGAGATTGGGATTTGCCTTTCATTCTCTGGAAAGTAATAAGAAGAACTGGAAAAATCAGTCTATTCATAGTTAAGTTTACAGTCTGTTAACTATCATTATAAATCATCAGAAAATGGCGCTTGTAATGTGTAAAACAAAAACAGATTTGATTTGTGAGATAAAGACTAGTTATCAATGTTGAAACAGACATTTACCTTCACAGAGCTGTGTGATGTTTATACTGTCTTGTTTCCAGCTGACAGGGTTGCTATGGTTACAGAAGATGGATTCCTCACTGCAGAACAGGATGAGAGTGTGGATCTCATGTGATGTCACTTCCTCTGGAGAGCAGCTGTTGTTCTGATAGCTAGAGGTAATCATGAGATCATGAGCTCTGCATGTGAAGTTTACAGTACAGGAGTCACTGCTGGAACGGTTTGAGTTCACAGTCAGGACAGGAGCCTCCACAGCATCTGAAACACACATTTCCTCCAAGATCACAATCACTTTTTTTTTGCAGTAGCAGATAGATCCTGAATTAAAGACAATGTGCCAAAAGCTGGTCTAAATGTGCACATATGTAAAACTGAAAAACTGTTCATAAACTGCACATGATTGTCTTTTATGCAGGAACACATTAAACCACACAAAGAAATTAGACTCACCCATAACAGATATTCTGTATGTGACACAATTTTTGTTTATTAATCCACTTGTTCTTGCTGTGTAGAGTCCACTGTCTGTCTTCTGCATGTTCTTCAGTGTCAGAGAGAAGGTTATATCATTGAAATCCACTCTGTCCTTGTAGGAATCGTGAAGTTTTACTCTTTTGGAATCACTGTTATATCTAACTATACTCTCTAATTTATTATTCATCCAGGATAAAAGATCAAACTCTGGTAGTTGTTGTGTCTGTATATCCAGTTGAACAGAAGCTCCCGTCTGCACAAACACAGAGATCTCAGCACTGAACCCTGAGGAGAGAGAAACACACAGTTCAGAACATTTTACACCTCCATCTTACTTCATGTCATAAAACTCACAATATACACACAAAAGTAAACAAATCGTAGAGGTTCTTAAGTAATGATACAAGCATTTTTACTCTTAATAATGGTCCAGGTGATATGTGAAAATAATGTTCACTTTTTCATAAAAGCA